TTCATTAGCAAGCAAAGATTTCTCTGCTCTTGTAACCGCCATTTCGTACCTTGTCGTTTTATTTGTGATAACCTGTTTCACATTTTTAATTTTCGTCAAACTTCGTGTTCTAACATAATCAGGCCTCCGGTGTCATGCATTGCTATTCATTTCAGCGGTGAGCCATCGTACAGCTGGTCTGGTTTCCCTGCTCGAGATGCATGATTATTGCGGATATCACTTGGAATCATATTAGTTGCTCATTTTGTTATGCCCTTTTAAATTATCTGAATAATTATTAATAATGATTTGTTTAGATATAATTAATTTTTGCGCTTTATGTTTTAAACCAGTACTTTGGCCCTTCCTCTGGAAGACATTTATTGTTATTGTATTAATTTGTTTCACATCTTTAAGGAATTCATGAAGTCCTCAGTGGACGTAATCGACTTACTCGGCCTGTACATTATCATCACTCGCAACTGGTCTGGCAAAGGTGAAGTGCGCTTCCTCGCTGCCGGACTTGGTTGGGCAGCCGCGGACGCCGTCGCCACGCGTACAGTGCCATTTTGGGTAGGTGCGAGAGGAGTTGGCTTTGACTGGAAGTACATTCAGATGGGTTTTGAATCAAATATTAATTTGGTATTTTTTATGGCCATAATTTTCGTTTTTTCTTAATTAATTACGCGTACTTTCAGCTTTACTATTTGGCTCTTTCTACGCTGGTTTTAATATGGAGCAAACGCAGTTTGTCGAGAACAATGAGTCAGATCGTTTGTGTGCTCTTCATTTTTGCCATCTATAGGAACTTCATTTATGAGTAAGTATGAGTCAGCTTTATATAAAACGAGGTGTTAAGCCATCTGAAACTCAAGCTTTGCTTATGTCGAAGAGTATAACTACTGACCCAATGACCGAATCGTTTAGTATGGCTGAATATGACAGTCAGAATGATTAATGTCATCCAACGACAAGGTGAGTTTGCAAAGTCAGATCTCATTATTACGTTGAAGTTCTCTTGTCTTGACCATCCATATGGCGCGAAGAATCTTTGTTTATATTTTGGTATAATCCATCAAACGCATGCGGACCAGCTGTTATTACCCATGGATCATTATCTCCTGTTCAGATTTTGGATTGCATGAAGGAAAAAATCAGCACTCTTACTCTTCAGGAATTAAAACAGTTGCGGCCTGTACCCGCTCCCATTTTCCCACCCATATTTACAATCAGAGTATAGTTCGAAAATACTTATAATTGAGTGGCCTTCCAGACAGAATTGTTTCAAATGGCATAGAGATATCTTCTATTTATCAGCCATCATTGTGACAAAGAATAATCTGATTACGGATAAGGTTGTGGAAACGTCACTTTCGGTAAGTTTCTTTGCGCCTCCATACGCGTGGAAGCTTCAGGTACCATGGAATTCCTCTTAGTCTGACTGACAATGAGTAAGACTTGAGAAGCAGTTTCTTTTTCTCCTCCTTTCCGTACAGCTGCCACAACAGATGCTGTATTGATTTGGTCTGATTTCATTTTCGTATATGCATAAAAATTACTGACGCAGTTGTAGTCGTTTGGCACCGCGGTGCAGCGATAGCGGTTTCGCATCGAGCATAATGTTTTCTTATTCAGAACCTTATCTAATAAACGATTGTTCTGAGTCTTTTATTTTATAAAATGTCGATGACGCAGTCCTTTGTTGCGCTT